TCTGGCACCCTTTACAATGTTATTAAATTTATTCCTGCTATTCAGTTTGTCAGGATGATAGCACCTACGTTGGTAAAGAAACTTTCTTTCACTGAGATGAACTAAGAATTTTGTTCATGCTTTTCTTGTAAGGCCTTAAAGCAGGAATCAGCGTCATATGTACTGTTGTAAAACAATTTTTTTCAAAAATGGTTAAGTGCAGTAATGAACATGACTAAGAAACAAAATATTTAATAACTTCATAAAAATAGGTAAAAGATTAATAATAATTAAAACAAATTTATAATACATTAAATTATGCATAATAATAAGTTAAAGATTTTAAGACAAATTAAATTGTCCCCAAGCGGTTGTTGCGTGCTGAATGTCGTTGACGATTAAAGCTTTCCATCAGAGTTGCGTAGATGTCTTCGAAGTTTGTTTTCAGTACAAGACGTCTTCTAGAGTTTCTCTTAGGTTTAGAGTTTCTCTTTCTCCCTCATTCCTGCTTAAACTTCCAGCATAGAAGCATTTATTAAGTTGGCGACAAGCAGTGGTATTATTCTGATAGTGACTTCTAGACCGATAGCTGAGACATAAGAATAAAACAGAAAATCCATATCGCGCCTAAACTAATTGTTTTGCTCAAAATGATAATAATAAAAATTTTGTTGGATAGATTTGTTATGACTCACCGTCGAAGCATTTTTCACTGCCGTGGAATACCCCCTTACAGCCACATCAGCGTCAGCATTGAGCTGTTGCATGATTTGTATCGTTGTGAAATACATCTGTAGTCGATAGACAATTTCCACCATTCCTATCGTAACGTGATTTCGAACCATTCTATCGAACCGTACCAGGCGCTGGTTCGTCTGGAAGTCATCTCAGACCAACTGTTGCAAACACCTGTTCAGTTCAGCTGATGTTCGTGACATTTGAAGATAGAAGAAAGTCGCACAGTACGATGTGTCATCTCTGAATCTGATGCTAAACAGCATTTGACAGTGGAATATGTGGCTTAACGTAACAAAACGTGTCAGGAACTCAACTACTAAAATCATATCATCGAGTAATATACGAAAAGGTAGTTCGAAAGGAAGCGAGGGGACGAAGTTCGAATAAGCAGTATAATAATCGGCAATATCAGTGGGCAACTAAAAGGATATGTGATCGTCACTCGACGCGAATACCGCGGCAACTTCACAATAAACGGTAACGACTCATTACAGTACCTCTGTTCGATTTTGACAGTTAACCATGTTTCCACATTGTAAGCCACAAATACTTCTTGATTTTCTTCTGAGCTAATTCATGTATAGGTTTCAAATGAGGGCTCCTCTTCCAGTAGTTGAATACTTTGTTGTGCTGATTTTTACTTCCTTGGCGTGCAAGATCGTTGCAGACTGTCTTATGAACGGAACAATGCTTACGCAGTCATCATCCTTATTGAGCTATACAAATAATAATGGTATTAATGAAAAATGCATATCTATTTCAATGAAATATCGTTGAGCCTCGTCCTTCTGGAAAACGAATGTTTTATTGTCAGAATTTTGTTCTCTCTTTGGGTGGTTTTATCAGACCGTGCTAGCCGGTTCTTCCAGCAGTGTTTATGAGCCTGTAGTCCTGAGCGTTCGGCGTCGTCACCCTCTCGATACTGTCGCATTTTCAGCATGTCTTCGCAGACATACGACTTCTTGACATTTCAGAGCAGCAAAATTTGTTCCACTTTTAAAAAATGAAATTTTGTAACCGTTTGAACGTTCATCCTCGCTACATTTTCATGACGAACCCATTTCTGACGTCCTGACGCTGTTCTCCTTTTCCATGCCATTAGTCAGGTGTGCCTTATGTTAAAGATAGACTGGACGTTAACTACGTGGCAAACATACTGTTCAGTCTTCTGTTTCATTTCCATGGAGTGGTACTGATTTATCAACCTCAAAGGAAAAAAGCT